CATATCGTACATTCCATTGTATCTTATTTTATTAAGTATCTTATTTATTAAATATCTTTTTTATTAAATATCTTTTTATTAAGTATATTTTTATCAAGTTTTCTTTTTTTTTTTATTAAGTATTATATTTCATTAAGTCCTAATGAATACAATTTGCAAAACATTCATATTAAAATAAGAGTGAGTTAAAACACTATTATAAATAGTTTGACATTAATATTGTGATTTTTGAATGTCATGTAGTATATAAGATAAGAAGATAAGATTAACAGAGAAGACTTTTTGATGACATCTTTTTCTTTTAAATGTTAACATCATTATTTCAAAAACGTCATTGCTTAATTGACGGTGACATTTTTTGTACATTTCCAATGATTACTACTATTGTATGTTTATTTATTTTTCAGAAAGTTGTTTAAGAAAATGAATATATGCCTTGATACTTCTGCACTGTAACTTTTTATCTATTCATCAATGAACAAAAACCCTAGTTGTTTGTTTTTTTTGTTGATTTTTTTGATTGAAAGAAATACATAATTTGAACAATATTGAATTTATGTTAGATACTTTACTAACTTAAAATGATTGAACTTAAGATGATTGAGCTTATAATGATTGAACTTAGACTGAACTTAAACTGATTAAATTTAAAATGAATGAATTTAAATGATTGAACTTGAAATGATTGAACTTATAATGATTAACTTCAAATGATTGAAATTATAATGATTCAACTTACATTGATTGAACTTACAATGTTTGAACTTAAAATGATTAATCTTAAAATGATTGAAGCATTTTTATTCTTTAAGGATGAAGGCCTTGCGGCCCAAACGTTTTTTACGTGATCCTTCGTGATTATCCCAACTCTATATTCTCTAGACAGTCGTTCACCCTTGGAGCAGTAAATCTTTGTGTTATTATTCTCTAAAGACATCATTAAAATATTCAACAATGTTTACGTTAAAATATTTTGCAGCTTTTAATTATGTTATTTGAATAACTTCATGATCATTAGTATTAACGCTACAAAATATTTTTGAAATAAATAAGAAACTAATTATTAAATAACAAAAAAAAAATGGTGAGATTCAGAATTTTATTTTCACTGGAGAAGAACAACGCCCGGTCTTACATGATCCAATATTAGACATAAAAGAATGTATTTTCATGAAAAATAAATGAATATTCAAATGAAAATGTTTTTGTAAATAATAGATACACTTTTAGTTATCAGTTAAAAAGGCAATCCACATTGCTCTTATAGATAATTTCAATGATGCTGAGAGAGAGAGGGGGGGGGGGGGAGAGGGAAAGAAAGAGAGAAGCAGTTTAGCAAATTTTGTAAACATTAAAACAAATATTAAGTTTTTCTGTAATGTAATACTAATATAAATGGTAATAAGAACTTAAGATTTGTGCGAGAAGAATATACATTAAATAATAAGGAATCTTTTCCCCCTTCTTCCACTATAGCTCTATAAGAAGTGCAAAAGATTGCAAAGTATAAGCAATGTGTTGTAAGTATACAATATTTGAACTAACATATATGAATAGGGCTGTTATATTTATTCTAAACTGCATCGATTTAGACGTTGAATAAACCAAGGGAATTGCTTGTAAACATCAACATAGATAGTACATGTTTGTTTTTAATAAGTCCAAGTCATCAGTTCCATTCAATGTATGGTTTAGGATTCCAGGTCAGTTCGCACTCTCCAGCCGCTGACCAACAAATGCCTTTTGGAATAAATCTATTTTTTCTGTAATCTTCTACAAGATCAAACATGTTCAGATGACCTCCGGTCATTGTATTCATTTCTTCCACGATTTGTCCAATGTTTGGGTCCTTTATTTCCCCGTTTGATTCAAATATAACATTCCCAATCAGCTGAAGTTTGCAGTCAAATCTTCCTAAATTAAAAAAAAAATGCAAACATCCAATAAAATTGTTATAAAACCACTATCCAGGTAAATTTCCCCTATCAGAACTTGTTATCTATAGAGCAGGTGATTTAAAGGTCATCTGTTTCTGTGTCCCAAGGTTAACGTAAATGTAGCCAGCACAACGACCAACCGCCTTTACTTTTTCCGAACCAATGTCAGGTACTCATTAGAGCTGGATGGACTCAGTGGCGCCCTAAAGATCCCGACATTGAAAATTCCAGTTTTCACTCAGATTTGAACCCAGGACCCCAGTTCGGAAGGCAAGCACTTAACCACTCAGTCCCGCGCCTTCATTTATTTTAAAGATATGTGAAAATGTTTGAGAGAGAGAACATTCGCATAAGAACCAATATTATATAAATAAAATTACGCAATTTATCGAAAACTTAAACTAGTGTACTCCAGAAATAACATTGGTCACAACTTTAGCTATTTTTTTATCTTGAATAAATTGTTTAGAGTCCTGTGTGAGGCGCCCACAAATCGGAGGACCTTGAAGTTTGCCTAGTTTTCCTATGCCTAAGGCCGGCCCTGTTGGAACAGTTTGAAAATGATGCTCCTTCAAAAATCAAATTTTCTTACACAGACATACTTCTTTGGGCCGTTAGGTGTGGGCCGATCAGAATGAAATATACATTAAATTTTTGCTCTTCCCCATAGAACAGTTCATTAGGGTAAGAATTAGTTTTTTTCCATAATTTAGTCTTTACCCCTAACTTGCCCAAGCTAAGCTTAATTAAAAATTACCAACCTTTATAAAAGCTCTCAGATGTTTGTATGTCAGCTTCAACGTTGACATTGTCAGATATGTCTTCACGTTGCTCGTTATAACTTGGGGAAAAGATTGTCTCATCTTTCTGCTTGCCAGGATCAATCTTTAAAGAGTTTCCAAAAATACTTATAACTTTCTTAGGTACCTCGTCGTCGAAGGGTATCTCCACTCTCTTTGATAATCCTATTTTTGTAAAAGAAATGACACTTCTATTGAACCACTAGAGTAAGTAACTAGAGCAAGTAACCAATAGATTAAAGAAAACAAAATGTTTGAAGTACCTACTCATGTGTGATTGCTTTGTGAAGTATTTTATTAGGGGACCGTGGTGACAAAGATATTAAGAAGAAGGATGTGAATAGGAAAATAGAGATGCTGACAGAGAGAAAGAGAGAGGAGAAAAAAGAGGCAGAGAGATAGAAGGAGAGAGAAACAAAAAAATGTACATAGTGTACTGTTACCTTTGACCACTGTTTGTGAGAGAGTTACGTTGATTGAATTACTGGATGTTGTTGAAACCGTTAGGTCACACGATGGGTCTCTGTGGTGATCTCGAAAGTTGACTATCACCTGAAGTTGGTAATTAAAAAGTTCAATAATTACAGATTCAGCAATCACTGACACAAATATATTGTTATTTGTTAATGAGTGTGTAATCGAGTGATGTTTTTATTTTATCAAGTGAGTTAACTAGTTATTTGGTGTCAGTGGGGGGTTATCGTTTTTTTTTTATATATCCCTCTATTCAACTCATACCTTCGTGGAACCTGGAACCTTCAGGCTGGGTGGGTTTAAAAGACCTTGAAAACGGCTCTTACGGTTTATATAAAAAATGGACAGTTATATTGTTGAGAGAAGAAAAAAAATTAGCTCATTGGACACTGGGGAAAACTCTAGTTTGACCGTTATCAGTTATCAAAGTTACAAAAAAAAAGATTTGATGATAGGACAAGATAAAACTATATTGAACAGTGATCAGTTATTTAGAAAAAAAATTGCTCTGTAAATTGTGTAAAGGAGTATTTGTCCTATTTTATTTTTTAATGTATTTTAATGTTTTTCTTGTTTTCTGTTAATTAACGATTACGACAAACTTTTTTATAGAGTGTTGTTATGGGTCTTTCTTTTTATGATATCACGTTTTAAGTTTTAGATCCAAAGTGTGGCTGCATGCGATTTAAATACTGATCGTGTGGTTGAGTAACATGCCGTACAATTAATTGCCCCCTGCACTGTAACTGTTGTAAAGTTAATTTTAAATTGTCAGATTTGTTATCGTGTTTGGTGTCTGTTTACTTACAGTTAAATTCACAATGAAATAATATTATGTAAAATGTGAGTAGCAGTCTTATGCAGTTTGATTGTGGATCGAGAAAGAACAATTCTGAAAAGGGATTATTTTATCAATGAAAGTGTACGATATCAATAGTACCAGTGCAATATGTGGAAGGAAATTTATAATATAAAAATATAATAAAGCTTATCTACTAAATGTATTTGCTTTTTCTTAGCTCAGTTTGCAAAAAAGTAGTACTATCTTGGTTGAAAAATATAAAATAATTTTAGATTTTAAGAATTATATTTTACTTAAAAAAAAAAAGTAGAGTTTACCTTTCTTGAGGTGTCAAACACCTCCGGTCCTCGGTCCAAAGTAGACCATTCACAATCACCACTTACAGATAGTTTGAGCCTTGAGACTTATGACATTAAAATATTTTGATAAAATTTTCAGCAAAAATATAAAATCCTTTCCATTTCTAAAAATGTACTTAATATGGTAAATTAATATGTAATGCAGTTCTTATTAACATTTTAAAAAAATATTTACGGTCCCAATAAGTATGAACATCGAAATAAAAATGTTGATTTCTTTTACTGCTATAGATTGTCTTCATTCATTGGTTTGAAGGTCTACTTAATAACGTGTAACAGAATTACACTTTCTTTTTTGTTTGTAAAAATGTTTCACATATTTCGGATGTTCCTTCAGAGTTGAAGATAGTTTACTTCCTAGTCCAAACCTCCTGCAGGACGACGGGGGATGGGAGCGGGCAGGGTTTGAACCCGCGACCGTCGATAAATCCGAACGACAGTCCAGCGCGCAAACCGCACCACCAGGCAGACTGATATTTAAACATTTACACATAAAAACGGTCTTCCATGAACTATATCTCACCATTAATCTTTTGACATGGGACATCGAATTTTCGCATATACCATTCTTGACAAACTTTGACAATGTCAATGTAGTCCATGTTAATATTTCAATAACCAAAACTGTATACAATATAGAACAGCTAGCTCTGCTGAAACATTAAAAAAAAATGGTAAATAGATGCTATCAAGCCCTAGGTTAAAAGCACACAATATAGAGCTGATAAGTAGTAAATTTTATCATTTCTCTGTAATTATAAATCAAAATACTTATTTAATCTCACGAACAAAAAGAAAAGGTAAATAAACAATTTAAAGCTTTGCATTGAGCAAAAGAATATGAAATATTCTAGTTAACGCTATAATTCTTTTTAGACTACAAATATTAATGAAAAAAATATAATTATACTTAAATTTTTAATTCGAAATATTATTCAGGTGAATAGTACAAAAACACAACACTATCAGAGCAAAGCTCTATATCAAAATCCAGGAATTCTAGTTGCTATTTTTATCTTCCAATAATCTCGTGACGAATAAAGACATTCTACTTGAAGATTTCAAAAGTAAATTAAAATATTCTTTACATATTTTTATTTTTTATTTTTTGTAAATGTTGTAAGTAATAAAATGACGTGGACACTGAAGTTATTGGGAAAGACCTATCAGTGGTACCGCAAAACACGTAACTCGCCACGTAATATTGTATTCGGTATCGATACTAATGGTTTTGGATCGTTTTCAATATAAAAGTTTGAGCCTATCAAAGTAGACCAGACTTACTTTCTCTGTTTTATATTTAATTAATAATTTAGTACATGCCCATATTACCGGGAGGGGGGGGGGGGCCTCTGGCTCGCAAAGATCTTTCTGTAGGTATCAAGGATAAAAAGAAGCTCAAAATTCGATGAGAAGACATCAAAGAATGAGCCGGCTTGTCGTTGAAAAACATTCAAATCAAAGCAAAATACAGAAAGGGATGAAGAAAAATAGCCGACGTGTCATGTTTGACGCCCCGCTGGTCAATCAGACTAAGGGCTAGGTGAGGTGAGCGCATTATAGTCATGTTGTCTTTAACGATTCAGTGCAATGTTTATCGTTAAAGAAAGGGAATTAAAAGAAACTATTCTTTAGAGACAACCTCTACATAAAACAAAAGCATTCAGTTCAAAAATAATTTTTTTTTAAATCTTTATAAAGACAAAAAATTATTGAATAATTCTATGCCACTTGAAAGGAAGAAATAGGCCTAATGTAAGGTATTTATTTTCTGAGTTATCTATTAAAACTAAAATACTAAACATACTCAAAGTCAACTATTTGTATTGCTGATTTCTTTGTGATTTTGTAAACAGAAAAATGTCACTGAAATAGGAGAAATGAATGTCATTTTTTTAAATTTTAAGCATAGTGGTCAAAACATAGCGCCGCAAGTTTATAAACTTATTTATTAAGTCTTAAAGTATTTTTAAGTTAACCCTAACGATTCTTACCAGAAATCAGCCATATTAATTAGTACGGGTTGCGTGTGACACATTTTATTAAAACTAGATAAACATCTTGATAGTCAAACGAATTACAATGAACCCACACATCTCATTTTCTTAGCCCGGACATTGTCTGGAAATGACCATTGAAGTGAAAATGTACTTTACTAAGTAACTCAGCAGCTATTGTATACTCAGTCAGCTTACGTTTCACCTGTATTTGAAAACATAACCGTCCAGTAGCACCCTTTGTGCAACTTCCCATATGGTTCTTAATGGTAAACGATTTTAATATTCATAGATCTAAATATTACTCTAATGTGAAGTGTTTATCAAATCTGTATATATAATACCAGCCACTACTACACAGAAATAATAGTCATCAGCATTATTGCTTTATTTGACTTCAAACAATTATCTTCTAATCACTTCGGTGGGGCGTAGCTGGGGTAGGGGAGGGAGTCGGGTCCAAATTGGAACCTCCCCCCCCCCTCACTTTAGAGGTTCCCCCAAATGAGTGTCCGAAATTAGTTTTTACATTAAATATTACGCCATTATCTCATGGCATGATGTCGTATATCAAAATGCAGGAGCCCCCAAAGAGGTCAAGCCCCCCCCCCCGGGGCCCCAAATATCTAGCTACGCTACTAATGCTACTTACATTATATTAGTGTAGTTTTGTTTATGTAACATATAAAGTCATATTAAAACTTTGAAAGAAACCTTCTTAAAATAATTTTACAAAACAAGAGTTTTGACATTCGTTGCTTTACCAAACCTGTATTCCCTATCGTCCACGTAATGGTTTGGGTGATTTTTAGAAAACCTGAAATAAATAAAATAATAATAATGAATAAATTGTATTTCTTGGTACATGATTAGCTTTATTTTTGAACATCTAAATTTTCTTACGTGTCCAAACTTTTTTCTGAACTGTTCCTTTTATTACGTCTCAAGAGCCACGCAGTTATCGGGAAACACCAGACAGCGCTATCGTGAAACCGGTAGACTTAACTCGCCACGTAAGTTTTGTATTGGATATCGAGGACTGTGTTAGTTGTACTGAATCCTCTGACACTTTGACTATTTTACTAAAAATATTTACTTAAAGCTGCTTACATTGTGAACCATTAACTTTGAGTCCAGTTACCTGGTAAGTAAAATATTTATCTGCCTTTTTAATATTTATTGTTGCAAATTGTTTGGGTTTTTAGATTGCACACCGGTACATCCTACATTCTTATCAAGTTTTTTTTCTTTATGGTTGCTAAATGTTATACCCGGTATATAATATCATTTTATAATGTAATCTGGATGGAATATACTAAATAGCTATTTTTAAAAGCTGCTATACTAAAGTGTAAATAACATATATTTGCTATTCAGTGATTTTCTGAATAAATTTTTGAAATTGAATTTTTCTTTTTTTGTATTATATCTCTATCTGCCAAACGCTAAGGCTCTGAAACTACTTTTGGAACTTATTTGATATTTGGCATAATTATTATGTACATAGATATCTACATATGCATGCAAAAACTTTTTGATATTTGCGTAAGTTGGATTTTTGTTTGAAATACTACTCTGTAATACAATTGCGTACAATTTACGTTTTATTTTGCCAATTAGTTGCTATATTTATATGAAATTTAGAATATGCCCTTTACTAAATATAGCTATTTTTTTTATGTTTTCAGATAGTTATTATACTAACCTATAAATTACATGCATGTTATCTAGTATTTTCCTGACAAATTTTTTGTAATTGAAATTTTTTTTTTTTTTTTGCATTTTCTCCTTTTTTTTGTGTTTGTATTATACCTCTATCTGCCAAACACTAAGGCTCTGAAACTACTTGAGCTACATACTTCATATTTGGCATACTTATTCTGTACATAGATATTTACAAACGCATGCAGAAACTTTTTGATATTTGAAGTAGTTTTTTTGTTTTAGCCTTTCAAAGTTTAGAATTATGAAATATTGATGTATTTTTCAAGGTTGCAACACTAAAAAAATCATTAAAAAAAGACAATAAAAGATAACAATATTTCCCTTCATGCATTTTTAATACTTGTCATGTATGATATTTATGTGTAAAAATTATTAATTTATCTTAAGTATTTTTTGAGTTATAAGCTTTTAATTATAGTTTGTTTGGCAGCCATCTTGGATTGTTTCCATGACAACCAGTAAAGTTATAAAGTCAAAAACTATATTTTCTCAATTGTTTAATTAAGTACTATTAAGATAATATAAAATATTAAATATAAAATATTTAGTCTAAATGGAGAACTTTTTTTTTTCATCTTTCCGGCTCGTATGTCCCCTTACAGAAAAGAGCTTGCTTGAAGTTCACAGAAGATTTAAATGAACAAAAATGTCATATATATAACAATGTCAAATAAGAAAAAAGCACTAAACTCAAAATGACTGTTCAGTAGTTCTGTTATATCTTTACTATTCATCTAGGGAGTTCTTCAGATAGCATATATATAATTGTCAGTTTACATAAAACTTGCTAACATTTTCTCTTGAGTTAAGGTATCAGAATATATTTGAAAAAGTTTGTTGATCTATATTATTTACATAAACATATTCAGATGGTGTTGTTTAAATTTTGCTACAAATTAGTTATTACATTTTTGTTTCAAATAATTAAAACAGCAGCTAAACTGTCAATATGCTCTAACAATAATGAATAAAAAACAAAAAAAATTATATAATACAAAAAAATATTGACAGTAGTATTGCTAATGAGCACCAGCACCATATACATTCCCATCTTTGGCCAATTCCTCTTGGACTTTTTCAAACCGAGTTAAAGAAACAGTCTTTCTTCTTTTTCTATAATCCTCTTGGCTAGTAGTGTCAGACTGAATAATTCTTTTATCATTGACCTTTTTTAAATTATTTAACGTTACATAAGAAACATCAATACGCATCTTATTCATCACATTAATTAATTCGTTGGCGCCAGCATTAAATATTGACACAGCTCTAGCAACACTGCCTTTCACTCTGCCAAGTCCCATGAAACTTTTAGGACATCTCGCCCAAATCATAGCACTAAGGCTTTCCTTGTTGTTCTGAGTACCACCATGAGCCATTCTTTGAAGCAAGGACTCATCTGGCATTCTTCGATAAATTGGAATTAGCTTGTGAGCCACCTCTAGAGACAAAAACATTGATGCCTTATGATTAGAGTGGCTGGCAGGGTCTTGTCCCAACGAAACAGCTTGTTGGTACCAGCACCAACTATTTTCTCCTAATGGACATTGTCGATGATGGTGTTCAGTATCTGTAGACATGGAGTGGTATAATCCTGCCCAAACAGCATTCCTCATTTTGGACACATCTGGAATATTGTCTATTATAGCGCCATGATAAAAATTTTGCAAACTGTCAAATTTTTTTTCTGTTAACCTGCCAACTCCTCTGCACCAAGATGGCTTTCTTTGGCAAGTTTTCGAAGCGCAGTCCCCATACGTTTATGGGCATGGTTGATACAGTCAAGTTTAGTAACAGCTTTATCAGCATATGGCTTAGACTCAAGCACAGCTTTAAAAGCAGAAGAATCTCCATCACTCAGCATCTCCACATATCTAAAATTATATTTAGCCACAGAACGATTCCACAGAATTACAGCACTGTCCTGTTCCGTAGACTTGCTGGATTTGTGGTGATTAGTACAGCAATCATGCTGTTCTTTCCAAACTGCGAGGTCAGTTGCATTCATGCTCTCAGCTTTCTGTATGTGGCATGCATGGCAGTACTTAGATCTAATATCGAAGTCGACAACAAGACCTGTTAGTAAATCGATGCAGACACCTACACCATAAAGCGATGTAAAGCCTCGCTTTTGCCAGGTCCCATCAAAACTGACTGAAATATCAATCATAGGGTTTTCTCCTCGTTCAATGGCTTCCCTAATGTCATCATCCGT